CGTGAAATCTAGCGTAGGCTGTGATCTGTTCACCAAACGCAATTTTGTTTTACGCCGTTTTTGGTTGCGCGAGAAACGGTTCTCATATCAAGTTGCGGTTTAGGGGTATCCTTCCATCAGGAGGTGATGTGGTTTGGAATGCCACTAGTCTGATAAGTTTTACTATCAGCTTAATAGGTTAATTGGTAAAAGTAGAGGCAACTCTGCAGATCTGCATAAAAGGCGGGGCTGAGCTTTTCTGCGGGTTGTTAGCAATATTGAACTGTTCCTCTACCCCAGTCTTCAAAATCAATCCATTCTTACCAACTTTTCTCTACGAGGGCAGATTTGGCTGAGAATTTGATGTTCGTTCGATCTCCTGAATACGAACATAGCATCCCTTTGACACGAAACTGCCTCGCCACGCCACGCCATAGCCCCGATCACCAAAATCGATGAAAATTCATATACGGGGGTTATTTGACATCCTGATTACGAAGATGACATTCATTATTGGAGGCGGCGTTAATGGAGGGTACTACGATTATCTCCCAAATTCAGCTTCGGCAGAGCACAGATATACTCGAAATCCCTGAGATCGGGTAGGCGTGGCCGCATGTTTCAACTTAACCTGAAGGTGTCTATGCTTCTGGTGAGATATTTTCATCTTGACACAATTGTTGTCGTGTCTCTGTCCAACACAGAACAAGATGACAGTTGTCCCAGACTGGAATATTCCACGAGTAACCAGTTCCGTGCCATGTTCAAATGCCACGCCTACTCTGGCTCAGGGATAAGGAGTGTAAGTGCAGTGTCCTCCATTAGCGCCAGCGCCAAGAGTGAATGTCATACTCGTAATCGGGATGTTAAATTACCGTTGTATACAAGTTTTCAGCGGATGATGATCTAGACATAAATGAGCCAGCAGCCAAAACTGAGCGCGTCAACAAACGGCATCATCACGAGCAGGTAGAAGTGTGGCTGCATGATTGGTGTCGGTATTGTATTAGGTTGTCCGGAAAGTTCTCAGCGTTTTGGGTGTTTCACTTTAAACGATCGTAACTTTTTTAATACTCATCGGATTTAATCGAAATAGGCACCATTCGAATCAGCACACTTTTGCCAATGTGACAGCAGTCGAGAAATCCCATAAAAGGAAAAACTGGGTGGTCGAGAATCCACGAAATCTACGAAGGTCTTTTTTGCCTGGTCTTAATTGATGAAGTATTTTTCAGCAAGGAAGTTCTGAAAATGTTTGAAAAGGTGATAGTCGGTTGGTGAAAGGTCTGGAGAATATGGTGGGTGAGGTAGAACTTCAACCCCCAATTCGTTCAATTCATAAATAGTGA